ATGCAGATAATGATGACAAACCAGTGTGGAGCATATAGGATCAATACCTGCCTTCCCCCAGAAAGGGAATGTTTAAATGCTTTTGAAGTGTTGAGATAATTCGATGCTGAGTGTTTCTCTGTGTAAAACACAAATGTATGACACACACTGCCCATCAGAAAAATGTTCAGTATTTTCACAGACACGTGTGCAATTTAACAGATAAGGGAAATGAATATCCCATTATCAAGGCAGGTATACTAAGAAAACCACCAGTTATGATTCATACTTAAACTGTACCCTGTCTGCTTCCAGGGAGTAATTACGGTCCATTAATGGTTTCTCGAATGCAGTCAGCAGGAAGTAAAATACTATAATAATACACTCTGTAAAGAAAAGGTGAATCAATGAGCACAGCAGTGGGTTTTCAGATGCTTTATTAAAGTAAATAAACACTAATTAAATCAATTCAATCAACACTGAGCACCCTGTAAGCTTCTTTCCAGACATATCAGTGTTTGTGACACTAAGATAAACTAAATCTATGACTGAGCATTGAGGATGAGTCTTTAAATCCAGATTTTGAAGGGAGTTAAAGTGGATTAAAAAGGAGCTTGTTTCGTCTTTTCTTTTTTGATATTATTTAGCTCAACACAACATGTTCTCGTAGTGTTTATTTGTTTAGGAATACCCCAGAGAGGTTTAATCTTGTGGGTAAAAGCAAATCCAAAGCACGAGCAGGCACTCCCACACAGGGTACATATTTATTCAAAAGTACGGACACACACGCACCCCACCCCCACACACATGCACGTAAAACAGAGTAATTATTGACACACCCCAACAAAGTGAATCCGTACAACAACACATTTATTCAATGGTTTTGTGCTGGCTAAATGGCTGGAAAGGTACTGGTGTGATCAAACTAAATGTATATCTATGGTCAGAAGTATCCAGGATACAAGTACAATTACACAAGAATATGAATACCTTACATCTACCTTCCATTTATTTTCAAACTTATCCCCACACACACACAAGTATGAAGTGATGATTACAATTCATGTAAGACTGAAGAGGTATATGTCATTGAATCCTGTTTTATTGAGGGCTGGAGGTTTGTGGTGTTTTGATTGTTAGGCTTTAGCATTCGTAGATTATTTTTATTTGATTTTATACATTGTGTTTTGCTTAAAGTTATTTGTTGTTGTTATACATTTTTAGTTTCATAGTGTTATTTTCTGCTTTCAGTGCACGGCCCATCCTAGTTTGTTAATTAGCCAGCCTGCCCTGAGTCAGTTAATTAATCCCTCAGTATATGGGGATTAATTACCTGACACGGGGGATTTATAGAGTTTATTCCCTCAGTAGTTTAAGTCCGAGGCTTTCAGTTGTTCTGTTGGAGCCAAAATATTGTATCAAATTAAATATGAAGTTAGGCATTTTACAGTTCATAGAAAGTGTAAAAATTAAATCATCAGAGCCAGAGTACTGCAGTGGACATGAACATCACAAATCATCGCAGTAGATTTGTATATATATATATATATATATATATATATATATATATATATATATAAACATTCCTGATATAAGGGCCTCTAAACATATCCTGAGAAATATCTCTACTCCACAAAAGCAGAATGCTTTGTTTCACCGATGCAAACACACACACACCCACACACACACACACACACACACACACACTGAGGGGTCTAGACGATACTCAACTGGAGCCTTCATGACTCACATTAATTCAATGTGACCCACTAGGAAATTAATAACACCACTTCAAACGGAGCCTGTGAGATATGTGCAGATATTCCTGGAATCCAGAAAAAAACGTTACTGAGCTAAAATAAAAATGTTTGTTAAATCTACTCTTTCAGCATTCCAGAGGTATTGGGGTGTTTTCTGCCAAAAATAGCCAAAAAGGCAATATAGAAAAAATAAGGTAAATTATTTTAAACCTGTTCCTCTTCTCTCTCTCAGACTGATACTGATGATGATTATATTTTCACTGGTTCATTCTCTCATCCACCCACACATGCGTTCTTCCTATTACCCTTATACTTATTTCCTTTTTATAAAATTTCTGATTTTTATTGTAAATAACATTAAATGCTCAAACATGGCACGCATATTTGATGTGAGTCACAACTGCTTTCAGGTGGACTTAGAAATTTCCCTGTGGACCAAGACAGTTGAGCTGATAAATTACAAACAGTGAGAAAAAGGACTTGAACACCTGAACAATTCTGTAACATTAGAAACTGAGACCGGTCCATTTTAATATGTTTGGTTATGATCTAGCTCGGGGTGCACAAACCTCTACCTGGTACCCATTTCAGTGTTATCCCACATGGTCGTGTCACTCATTATTTCTGGGGTTGATGTCAATCAGTCTGATGTTGTACTTAGGCCTGTTGCAATAAATAATAATTCAATTAATTGCATGATAAATGAACGTTATCTGCCTCATTTTCATTTATTGACTTTATCGTTTCGTCGTGTCTCTCTCTTTCTACTGAAGACGCTAGATGACAAAAAGCTCAACTCCAGTGCTCTTCACTGACCCCTCCCTTTCTCTTTTCTCTTTACAATCTGTTTTAACCGTCCAAAATCACGTTTTTGGATCGTTAAAAGCAGCTAAGCTAAAAAGCTAAGCTAGGAGCTAAGCTAACAGGCCGACCTCGGAGGAAAAAAACTTCTGTCTTGTCAAAGCTCCAAAATTCACGATTGAAACCTGTGCCTTCGTGTAAAAAGTCGTTTTTCTCTGCAAAAAGAAGCTGAGAACTTGTTTACTGATTTTATTTATTTTTTATTAAAAGCTTTGTCTGACAAATGCTACGCTAAAAAGCTCAAACCACACCGAACATCATTTTGAGAACCAAAAAAAAAAAAAGAAAGAGACAGCCCATGTCACGTCAAGAGGCCTCCCTCCCATTTTTCTTATAGACTTGCTGCTTACTCCCTCACTATCCATCCTTCAGTTCAAACAGTCTTATACTGTCATCCAGTGGTCAAAAAAGGTACTACAGGCAAACAAATTAACAAACATTTCTTCTTAAATTTGACAATAATTACTAATTATTGTCAAATTTCAAACAATATTATTGTTTATTGTAATAATTTCTGAGACAATTAATTGCCCAGCAAAATTTGTTATCGTGACAGGTCTACTTATACTTTACAGAAACAAAGTAATGCAAGTAAATAAATAAATAAATACAATAATAATATCAGCTATAGAAAATGCCAGCACAGGTAGGTGCATCTCTATGTCTCAACCTTGCAAACTTTTTAAACTCCTTCCAACTTCTGAAGACAGAAGTGAGGACGTCGTCTTTGTAATTGAATCATCACAATCAAGAGACTCATTGAAGGAAATGATTAACTTGAGAGAAACAGAAATTCAGATTTTGTGAAATGGAATTGAATGGCTCATTTTATAACGTATCATATTTATAAAGACAATTTGCAACAACTAAAGAAACACTTTGTTTATAAATTGAGTAGACAAATCAATGTTTTCCTTAACTGTTTTTTTATTCCCAACTACCTCTAAATGCGTTCAAAAAGCTTCTCACCCCAAGAAAACATAAGAAGAAATTATATGGAAACACACTCTCACATTTATAATTTTGCCTAGATTAGACTAACCAGTAAAAATAAAGGTTGAAATAATTAATTAATTAGAACCACTAGAAAGTGAGCTGGTTTTTGCAAATAATATAATTTGTATTTATTTTTTTTAAATGAAAATATAGATTTTTTTTTTCCTTTCTTACATCTCCAGCCTCACATAGATGAACACAGACACGCATGTAAAAGACATCAAGAACATCAGCACTCCACCCAAACTGTGTCAGCTGCTGTCTCTATTGTTGACTGTGAATCTCCCCAAAAACTGACCGACTATTGATTGGCTTATTGTTTGTGTGTGTGGGTGTGTGTGTGTGGGTGTGTGTTTGTGTAGTGCTTCGACATAACATCAATTCCAAGAAGACAGGGACTATTAGGTAGCCAGCTTCACATTCAGTTCAATTTCCTCTCTAATTTAGCTGGAATTAGAAGCTCTGCAGCCCATCCCCCAACTCGTTCCTTCCAGTTTAACACATGGATGAGACGTATCGTATTCCTCGAGAGAGACAGTATTTGAAGCAGCATAGATGATGCATATTGTGCAGCCAGCAGGTCTTTGTATAATCCAGATTTAATCTTCTCGATTTGAGTAAAATTTAACACACTTTTTTCATAACCATGCAAAAGTAAATAGAATGAAATTCTAATTTAGAGCGATGAGGTTGAAATCGACATGTATCAGTTTAAAAACGAATCACATTGAAGACAGAAGGATTTATTGAAAATATCCTGATGTTCCTAATCTCACTGCTTAATCAATAGCTTGTCAGACAACGCTACTTTGCAAAAAGTCACAAGATTATTAGATTTTGTTTATTGCATTTGTTACTGGCGATCAGTCTGGAGACCTTTACCATAAAGAACAATCTTTAGTAATTTGACCAAGAAAACTGTTTATCTGCAGTAAGTGCACCTGCTGTGCCCTCCAGCTTAAATCCAAACAGCCTGTCAGTCATCTGAGTGACGCCTGCCTCCCAGCGTAGTGATGGCATTTGGGAAAAGACGAACTGAGACATTACTTGCCCACTAACTGAATTATTCATAACCTTGCACATTTAATCAAAGACAAAAAGCCAACCGGGACCATCTGAGATGTCACAGCTTAGACGGTTTATACAATCCTTGAACGTTTTATTGACACTGAAATGAACAGAAAATGATGTTATTCTTTCATCAGGCTTTGGGTGTTGTGTCTGAGTGAGCATGAGAGGATTACTTCTGTCCACAAATAAAATTAAATAACATGATGCAATGTGAGTTCTCTTTTCTTCTTCTTTCTGTCCCGCCTGTGTCATTTCATTTAAAGGTGACTGTTGTTGCCAGACTAAAAACTCTTACACAAATGGTCTCACACCTACACTGCAGCATGCACTCACCGATGTGTAGAGATAGCCATCACTGTTCATAGCCAGATAGAGTTTGGTCTGCACCCCCTGAATGGCCACCACTCGAAGGCCCACTGGAATGAGGTTGAACGTGGCTGAAAAAAAAAAAAAATGGAGAAGCAGAACAAACAGGTCAAACAAAGCTACACATTTATAACCATTAATTACTAAATTTTGCACAGAATTCTATACTGCACTGTCGAAGTCTTTTATTCCTGGCCTGTCAGAACTCAAACTCAAATAGGCTTTACCAAAGTTCAGGGAGCCACTACAGAAGTCCCTCACTACTTTGCAGTTCGTTTTTCGTGGACACGCTCTATAGCGGATTTTCAAAATAAGATTGGATATGACACACAACTGACTGACTGATGGATGAGCTACACGATCGGCATGGATTTTTTTATTTAAAACAAATTATATAGTACCTGCTGCACCTTTGTGCAACCCATACTGCATGATAAACTTCCTGCTGCAGCTGATCAGCTAATCTCTGTGCAGAGTGGAGAACTGGGCGTGGCCAAGAATGCTTGCAGGTGGCAAAGAGCAGAAGAAGCAGAGAGCTGAAATCATCACAGCATGCGCTCTTTTAGAGCATTTAGAGTCTAGAAACATAGTTTAGAATATTGCAAGAGTGCAGGAAGGGTTTAAAATTATTATCTATCTATCTATCTATCTATCTATCTATCTATCTATCTATCTATCTATCTATCTATCTATCTATCTATCTATCTATCTATCTATCTATCTATCTA